TATTGTCAAACATATGGTGTGTGGGCAGCAGTTGATACTGAACTGTTGAAACTATGCAGCATCGGGCTGTGAGGTCACAGTAGCGAGGGATGTCAACGAGGGTATAACAAGTGGAGGTGGGATAGGGCAGTGCAAGGGACGGCGGTGCGAGGATTGATGGGTTGCAGTCCTGTGGTTGGTGTAGCTCGTGCCGGATCAGCGAGCAATGACGAGGGTGGTGATTGGAGTGGGCTTTGGCGGTGGTTGGTGCTTGAGGGCTAACGATGCTCAAGGGCTAACACGGGTGAGAGCAGCGGTATCGGACATGCGCGGTGCAGGGTTGTCGAAGCCGCCAAGGGGAAGCGCGTAGTGCAGCGAAACCCCCACAGTGGCCCCTAGGTTAAGGAGGAAGAAAGAGCTGACGGCTCTGGTGTTGGATTTTTACAATAGTAAAGTGACTGCCATACCAAAACGTATCTGGGTTGTTGTAGTAGGGGTTGTATCTTGGGATAACTATCAATTACTTAATCCTGGTAGGGTCAAAGATCCCATGACAATTTATTCTTATCAATTGAGATTTGGTCAACCAATTGATCCTATCTCTTGATTAAAAAGCTCTCCCTATAAATAGGGATGAAGGCTTCATCTCAAAGATATATCACTTCACATACTAATATTAGCAACAGGCTCGTGGTATTGATTGAGGTTGTTGCGTGCGTCATGAACAGTGTGGGGAGTCTCGTCCGTCGTAGTTCCCTCCACCATCGACATCCGAAGCTGGTCATCGCTATAGCTTGCAGATCGGAAGATTAGAGCCACGATCCGAGGTATATCTCTCCGATTCTTTTAACATCAGGTACCAGGTTAAGTATAGATAGATTTGAGAGAACTTGATTATATTATTCACTGCATTAAAGTGTTTAAATAAAGTAGAAAGAGAGAGGTTCTAAATTGCTAAGCAATATGGGACTAAATAAAGAAACATAATAGTGCCTAACTATAATATTTAACATTTTCAGAGAGAGAGAGAGAGAGAGTTGTAAAGGATAGCAATAACTTCCATCATTTTAGACATGGGCGTTTTCTTGTAGGAAAATGATAGGGGCACACTTTCAACCACAACCTCAACCACACTCCCTCTCTCATTTGCTACAGTATACCGGGGCCCACATGAGATTTTAAAATTTTAAAATCCCATGTGGGGCCCGGTGTACTATAGCAAATGAGAGATTGAGTGTGGTTGAGGTTGTGGTTGGTGGTGTGCCCCTAGTGCCACCCTTTCTTGTAAGGACTACTGGTAGTATTTGCTTCGAGTTTCACCTATGTTATTTAGTAGTATATGTTCTTTAGTTTTATTTAGATCCATGAATAAAATGAAGAAGTTTAAGTGAGTTTAAATTTTGCAAACGTTTACTTGAGTTTAAATTATTCAGTTTAATCATTGAAATTATATTTTCGTCTGAAATGTTTGTAAATGAGACGAGAGTTTGCGGTGAGAAAGTCTGAAAGAGGGCAGTTTGCAGACTTAGAGCTTTTACTTATTTTTAGTATTTTGCAGAATTTATTGATTATAAAGTAGGACCCCGTACTCGCCATTCATCTATGTCAAGAGGCATATAGAAGCTAGCTTAATGGATAAGTGGTGTGCAGGTTGCATCAAGATTGAATGATAGTTAGCTGCATTCAAACATTACGCATGATTTTGCTTGTATTTATGATGGATCTTGAGGTTAACTTCTCATGTGCTTCCCTCTTTTCTCCACCAATTTTCCCACTCGAAATAACTTAAACTTTTTGCCATGAATAATAATGATTTTAAACTATGGAAGTATAAAAATGAAACAGAACAGAAAAACTTGTGGTAGAAATTGGGTTTTTGCTAAATTTATTATATAGAAACTCAGATATCTAGTAGTGGAAATAGCATTTGAATTCTAGATATCATATCATACTCCCTTTAAAAGCACGAGTTTGGGAAAATCTTTCTATGGTCAGTATTACCCATAGCTTTTTTTGAATATTACATTGTTATCCTAATCTATTATAATTTTAATCATATCTTATCTAATTCCACGTGAACTATCTATAGGTCAACAATTTAAAAAAAGTTATTTTGAATATTTCACTTAAATCTTAATCTATCCAAATACTAATTATATCCTATATTAACTCAATATGAACTACCTATAACTCAAAAATATAGAAAAAATAAGATTAAGAAATTATACATAGATAACATATTATAATACATGAAGTATTATAAAAAAACCTAAAAGTTTCAAAATTTGCATATAATAGCCTTCAAAGTTTAAAATTACACAAAACACCTTGACTTTTTAAACCTTAAAAACAAACATGATATCTAAAAATTTAAAACTTATAATTAACACCCTTAACATTTTAAAAATTATACTTAAAAACAAACATGATATCTAAAAATTTAAAACTTATAATTAACACCCTTAACATTTTAAAAATTATAGAAACAACCTCAAAAGTTTAAAGGTAATTTAAAACTTATAATTAACACCCTTAACATTTTAAAAATTATAGAAACAACCTCAAAAGTTTAAAGGTTAAATTACATTTATATACCCTATGTGTTTTTCTCTTGAAGCAGTTATATACCGTAAGTTACAAAATATAGCAAAAAAATACCCTGAGTTGGTAAAAATTTGCAAGTTGGTACCTTCTGTTAACCAGCTGTGAAAATATTCTCTGGAATATTCCCACATGCTAGACCTATGATCAACTTGAATACTTCTTACCCTCATTTATTATATTATTTACTATATTACCTACCCCACCACCCCCCGGCGCAAATTAGATTATTTTCATCATCTTCTTCTTCTTTTCGTGGCCTCCAACTTCTTCTTCCTCTTTAATATGGGTAACAATAGAAAATAAGAGATTTCACTATGTTGGGGGGAGATTAATTCTTAAGGAGGGGCATTATTGTCCTTTCATGTATTTTTTAACACCGTTAGCTAAATTTAAACAGTTACCAACTAGGGGTATTTTTTTGCTATGTTTTGTAACTTAGGGTATATAACTACTACAAGAGAAAAATAATAGGGTATATAAGTGCCATTTAGTCATGTTTAAATTACAAAAAAAAACATTCTAAAATTCAGAGATTTCAAAACTTAGAAACAACATAGACGGATTCTAGGGATTATCATTAGGCACATAGAAATTTAAAATTAGTAAAAAAAAATAACCTCAAAGGTACAAAAATTATAAAAACTCTCTCAAAAGTAAAAAATTATTAAAAAATTCTGAAATTTTAAAACTTATAATTGGTACATATCAAATTTAGAAATTATCAGCAGATTGCTAAAAATTTAATATTTTTAAAAAACAACGTACAATTATAGTAATTATAAAAATGCCTTCAAATTTCCAGAGTTACGAGAAATATTCTAACATTTAAAAATTTATCACCAATACATGAAACATGAAAATTATAAGCGCCCAACTTAAAATTTAAATTTTTTATAAAATACTATCAATGTTTAAAAATTGCAAAACACACCCTCTGTGACGCCCTTGTTTTCACACATGGCTGCAGTCCAAGGTGAACCCAGAGATGTCAAACCTGTCATGCACCCACACTGTGCAACAACAAGTTTCACCAATCACAGTAATATCCTCTAGTGGAATTAAAGTAAAGTGCAGGTACAAAATAGGTAATAAAAAGGAAATAACTACAACAGACATGATATAGAAAGGAGTATCTCATAAATAAATCATGTCTCAGTGAACAATCTAGAGTACATCCGACATCTGAAATAAATAAATATGTCTCGACATGAAACAGCTAAAAATGTAACTAAGGCTCATAGCATTTACAAAATGTGATACAAAACTCTAATATCCGAATGAAAATAACTCTACTGTGGAGTCTCTACTAGTAACTCATGTGACAGCGACTATGCAATAACTCCGTCATCCTGCGGCCCTCCGATGCTCTGATGCACCTGAAGATTAAAATAAAAGAAAAAGGACAACAACAAGAGCGTCAGAACGCTAGCAAGATTACCTTCATCCGCCCCCGGGTAAGGGCTACTAAATGAAGTGGAGGCTCTATCTATTAAGCATAGCCTACCTAGATCATTTTCCCCGTATATAAGAAAAATACTTATTAATACATACATATAAGCAATCATCTACTCTGAAATAAATGGATGTTGATATTTAGAAATCCACAACACGAGCATAGGTATGTCGAATATCTCGTTAGCTCAAATTGTGAATAGCTAAATACCAAATCCAAAAGCTACTACATGGAGCAATAAGAAAAGACAATTTCATCTCAAACCATATCAAAGGTGTCCTAACAGATATCAGATACGTGTCCAACACATGGACTTCATCTGCTACATATTAGATAAGACAACTCGAATAAGTGTCCAACACATGGACTATATATGATGAATGTCCAACACATGGACTGCAATAGATAAATGTCCAACACGAGGACGTCATATAATTAAAGTCCAACACATGGGCCGTAATAGGTAAATGTCCAATACGAGGACTGCATATGATTAAGGTCCAACACATGGGCCACAATAGGTAAATGTCCAACACGAGGACTGCATATGATTAAGGTCCAACACATGGGCCACAATAGGTAAATGTCTAACACGAGGACTACATATGATGAGCGTAATACAAATAAATGATGTAAGTACAATGCGTATATACTATTCACACTCGTGCCTCGGTGAGTGAATCCTAAACTCATGTCCGTAATCAACTCATGTGTAGAATACACAATTTACAGTGTATTAAAATACCAGATAACCCAGATAATTCGCTGGTCACACAAACACATGTAAACAACATGCACATGCACAAACAGGTCCAGTGGTCGACCGCTGTGATCATCATGGTCGACCATGAAATGAGTAGAAAGACATTGCACAAAATATCGCCCAGCGGTCGATCGTCGTGTCTACTGCGGTTGACCGCGCAGAAACAGAGAGCTTCCTGCACAAAAACGTCGCCCAGCGGTCGACCGCCACGTCCACTGCGGTCGACCGCGCAAAAGCATAATAGGTTTTCAGCTTTTGAACTTGTAGAAATTTTAACTCATCAATAATATGAATTTTGTCATTTATAAATCATATAACAAGATGAAAACTTTATTTCTACATATCAGAAAAATATCTCATGATTTACTTAAACTTGATTTAACCTAATCAAGTTTAACAACCCAAGTAATCAAATTCTTTATAAGAACCCTAGTTATCGACAAAATTAACATAAATATACTTGTATGAAACCTAAAACCGATGTAACAATTGTTTTTCCACATTTTCAAATCTTGTTTTACCCCAAACCTAGGGTTTTAAGCATCTCTAATCAACATAAAATATCATTTAATTGCCAAATTTGGATTTAAACATGGTTTAATCATGATTAATAAATTAAAAATAAAATTATGAATAACCCTAATGATCATGATCATATTTTTATCATAAACAGCAAGGAATTATTATAGATCTATCATGGTTTAAAGAATTATCATCAAAAATCTAAACTTTATCATGTTGGGTTAAACTTTACCATGAAAAACATCACTTTAACCATTAAAATTCTAATCTTTATTAAGGGAAGGGTTTGGATGCAGATAATCTTGCATTATCATGTGCACAAACCCCTAAAACAATCAGCAAATGATCCCTCGATGCCAAACGCCGCAAATCTCGCATTCTCCTCGCTTTTCGCCTCATGAAACTCTCTCGAGAACTCAAGTTTAGGGCTAGGGTTTGAGAGAGGAGGAGAGGGGCTGGGAACACAGAAGAAAAGAGATGTTTTTCGTGTATAAATGTGTATATATATGACAGTAAACCCGAATAAATACAGCCTAAAATCCAAAACCCGAAACTGGAAACCCAGTCTGACTAGAAACATACTCTTCGGTATTTTGACTGTAACTTTCGCATCCGACCTCGGAATAAGGTGATTAAGATTTGTTGGAAAGCTGCTGAAGAGACCTACAACTTTGGTCTTTTAAGTGTGTAAAATACTCTTCCATATTCATAATGTATCAGTGTGTAAAATACAAAATCTCTCCACTGGTCATTATTTTCCAGATGTATACATCATGCATGTTTTGTGCATTTGCACTCATTATAAATATATACATTGAATTGATCTCAAATCAATTCCTAGCATACTCAAACATCACAATATGTTATTTATCAA